TCATTCATTCACTCACTCATTCATTCACTCACTCATTCATTCACTCATTCATTCATTCATTCACTCATTCATGGTGTAATTATCATAGAATATCAATGTTATCCTCTCCTTTTTATGACGCTTGGTCTTGCAACATCAAATAGCGACTGCTAGCCATGACTAGACAGTTCCTTTGCTACAAAAGCACGAAGCCATAAAGCCACTCACATCCTTTAAGGGCCTTTTCTCAACAAAACGGAAGCGGACTTTTCGGCGGACTCGACGCCTGACAGCTGGAGCCCAAAGTGTTCACCACAAAGACATTGAGCTCTTCACTCAAGGTCGCGCGGGCATCGGCGAATAGCTTCTCCTGCCGAAGCTCATGTCTGGGAGGTCCATGGTGGTCCATGGTGGTCCATGGGTAGCTGAACACAAGGGTCATTCACTTGGAATATGTCTGCTGGAATACTTCAGGATTGCTGCAACTGCATCTTCCGAACTTCATCCTTTCAGCTTCCGCTCTCATTGATGGTCTCTCTCTTCTCTCTCTCGCTCTCTTCTCTCTTCGCAAGGCCAAACATATGCCCGGTCCTTTAACACTGATGCCAAAGCCTTCATAGGGAAAGCACATCGCTTTCGCGGGGCAAACTTCAATTCATGAACCATCATTTGGGTGAATAGAGGACTGACCTCTCACAAGGATTCTCTTCCTAGTTTCTCTTCAAGGACATAAATAATCAAGCAATTGCATGGCATTAACAAATCGAACTGCCGGCGCAAGAGCGACTTCGCCAAGCGGCAGGCAAGGCCAGTGAGAGGATGAAGAGCACAGCCGGAGATGCATCGAAGCTCCGCAGTCTGAGACTACTGCCTGCAAACCCAGCGTAAAGGGCATCGCTACTAGGAGCAAGGACGCTACTAGTAACAAGTGCCTTACTAGTAGTAACAAGTGCCTTACTAGTAGTAACAAGAAGCTACTAGTAACAAAGGGCATCGCTACTAGGAGCAAGGACGCTACTAGGTTCCAAACATTTCAGAGGCACTTCAACACAAGGCTTGCCCATAAAGATGAGCGTGACACATATTAATGTCAGGTGAAATCTTGCCAAACCTTCCGCAACGTACACTTATGGATGTGGCTGAACATGGAGGTAGGTAAATACATGGGACAAGGGAGGTGAAACAAAAACTCAGCGCATTCTTCAGCACTTTGTTCGTCCATATTCAGCTCTAGCAGGTGGCCCTCTTGAGCTCGCTGCTTCGCCTGCAGAGGCAACCACACCCAGGACGCAAAGGGCGCAGCCTGAACAGATAGAAAACGTCCTCGAAAAGAGATTCCTGACAACAAAAGTATAGACTCCCCTTAAAGGCTTAGGCTCTTGAATGCTCGCGTCTAACATCATCTAACCAATCATTCAGCCATGGCATGGGCATGTAGTAACTTTCACGCAAATTGATGAGATTGCAACTTGACAACTCTACGATTTGTACCTATACCCTTGATACTCCGAAGGTACTCGCCTGACAGCTGGCTTTGAGAATATCTTCGCTTAAGCAGCATTTTGGAAAAGGCCATTTGGAAGACCTTGGGCATTGCTTTCTTTTGCTTTTAAATCGACAAGTCAGAGGCGTGATAAGTGGTAAAGTAAGAGGCTAGCGACTGTTGGCTGGTGTTTGAGCGCCTTTCTTTACACGACGTAATAATGTAACAGTTGCATTATTATGTAAGTAGTTGCATGTGTTTGTAACGAATTATATAGATGTGATCTGACAAGCAAAATATCGCTTCAACACAAGATCGCACGAGTGGAATCTGTGATTTGGCAGCGTGGTGGACCCTCATTGCCTACTGCTGCCTAGAGTCCAAGAAAAGCTTCGACAGCACAGGCAGAATTTCGCCTTGCAAAAAGCAAACTGACCCTGAGAACTTTCTTAGCCGTCATAGTGAGCTCCAAGCCTAGTCATGCAAGCCTTCCTGGCCTGAAACATTAAACATTTCAAAACCAAAAGGCCTGGCTTCTTAGTCGTTTTTTTGGAGTTTCACATCTACTCACAAGACTCACACGTGGAAGAAAACAACCTGCTGACTCCGCCTTTTTTCTCTCACCTACTGACGCTACAAGTCTCGCATGACTTCCGGTGCCTGGCAAGGACTTGGCGCTCAGCATCCCCAGCAGCACGGAGCCAGCTTCAAGAGCACCTCGAGATCTCCAGAGCACGCTGCTCCTAGATGCTCCTAGTAGTAAGGCCAGGAGCCCCTAGTAAGCTTCTTTGTTACTCATATAATCTTTGCCAATTCAAATTCACCAAAATGTCTTCAGGATCAGTCAAAGTGACGCATTTTGCCAGCGTAGATGCGGAGAGCTTGGATGAGTGAGAATTACCTAGAAACACTATGAAACACTCTTTTCACGGATAAGCTGCAGGATAAGTCATATACAGTAGGACTGGATCTTGCTCCATTTCTGGTTTTATGGTCTGCTAATTGAGGGGTACCCTGTTCTTGTAAACTATGCTTCTGGGATGTAATTGGGCTCTTGGGACATCTCCAAGTCTAAGTCTTCCCATCTTCACAAAAGCCCCATGCCCCAAGTCAGCCCCAGCACCAATCCAAGCGAAGGTCTGCCATCGACGTCCAGCAAAGGACAGCTGCCCATCTGAGATGGCGCCTGCCGGGAAAAATCTCTCCAGGGAGGTCGTCGCCCTTTCCACCTTGCAGAACTCGAACCAAACCTATTAGGGGCCAGAGCAAAGCGTCCCCCACCACCAATCTAGTTCAACGTGGCAGGACTGTTTATACCCGAAAATGCAGGCCTCGGCTGCGGTTGAAGAGGAAGGCGCTCCAGTAGACAAAGACGTAGCCTTCGGGCTCAGCGCTCAGCAAAGTTATTGGCCCGTTCTCTCGGACAACGAATTGTGCGACCCACGGTTTCTAATGGGAAAACCGTTGGGCCCGAGGCCTGAGCAGCACCTGCCTCACTTTGACCGATCTTGAATACAGGGAGCATGTCTACGGCTTGCATCCGTCCACTGCCCCGCCTTGGACCTCCTTAAACATCTTGTTGAAAAGGATCCAAAAGGATCATATTCATAGAAAGGCAAGTTTCTGACCTCCCGAATCAATCCTGGATAGGGAGGAACTTGATGCCCAAGACACCGAAGGTGGTAAACTGCGCCAAGAAGAAGACGTAGTCACCCAAGGGCACGAGCGCCACTTTATAAAAGACCCGATTCACCTGGACGTACGAAACACACGCGACATGTTCAACTACAGTACTAAAAGATTGTGCATATCTGTCTCCTTGATTTGCCACTCTTTGAAGACAAGAATGTGAAAAGTCCAAAAAAAACGATGCATTCTCAGGAAGTGCAAATTCGTTTTGACAACCAACCAGCACATTAAGTAGCTTCCAAAGACCAACACTGTGGACGTCTTGTACTTCCCGCCGTGGCCAACACCGCAGTGAGGAGCATGAGTAGACCACCACCCCTGGGGTCAGGTCGTAACAGTCTTGTGCTGCGCCAAGGGTCCAAGCTTGGGAGCGGGTGGGATTTCTCACTTGTTTAGCTACGAAATACGGGAGGCTAAACAAAGGCACCATGAGATAGCTCCAGCATGAGCCCGCATGAGCTCAGGGAGGGGCATGGAAAAGAAACAGGGTGGGCGAACAGCAGCCTTCACTTCCCCAAATGCTCAAGAACGAGGAAAGGCTTGGAAAAACTGTAAATGAGACACCACCAGCATATCTACCAAGCCATGTGTCTTGCGCAGCAAGCTGGAACACTCATGATGGAGATCTGGTTGGGGTCTTTGAGGAACAGCAGACTCAGGATTTCCGCATTGCTGCATCAAGCCAAGGGACAGCATCGCTGAAGAAGGCGCAGGAAGATTTGCCCCTCAGCAACTGTCCAAGAAGGGCGCATCCTCCTCACTGTATATCTTTGATGTCAACTAACAAATTGTTTCTCTGATCTATACAGATCTGAAGAGACGGACCACGAAAGGAGAAAGGGGAACCACAAAAAGTAGAGAACAACTCTATAGAAATCCAACTAGCTTGGTTTTGTGTGCCCGTATTCAGCCGTAGTTGATTGCAGGATCCAACGCAACACAAGATTGGTCTGTGTTGGATAGTCTTGACACGCTCATGTCGTGGAGCCAAGTTGCATCGCCGGCGCAGTGCAGCTGTTAGCAGCACGGCCAGTATGGCTAAAAGGCCTCATGAAGCGAACATAAAAGAACTACCTGTCCAAGCGATGGCTTCGTTTCAGGGTTTTGTTGATACTGCAACATGTGGGTATGTTTCACAATGAGGTCGCCAATCCAAAATTTGGAACAAAGAGGGAACAATAACATGTCGTGAATCAACCATCGCAGCTGAAAGCTTTCTCTAATCTAAGACCGTGGCATCGCCATGGTGTCTCCGAGTCTTTCTCCATGGCGACAAATTTGGTGAAGGGTTGTCGTGTCAAGTGTTGTCCTGTAGTTCAGATTTCACCTTTGCTCTTGAGGTAACTTCTATCTGATGTCTGTGCATTTCTTTGGCCTCCTCCCATACGGTACCATACGCATGTGCGGAGTTCATATTGAACTACTGTAGTGATTCATGCATTATATTTCTTGATCATTCTTGATCTACAAAAGTCACTCTAATTAGAACGCTTTTGGGAACAAAAGCGGGCAGCAGCTCTTACACGCCTCACAAACCTTGTTCCCCCTGGCATTTTCAATGCATTTTCTTTACATCATCCACAAACCCCAAAGGGCTGAAACATGTCGGGCAAACGCTTCCACTCGAATCGCCGGAGTTGGCGCCGGAGGCTGATAGGTTGCCTGGCAGAACGACACGACATCTATCGACATCTTGTCTGCCAACGAAGAATTGGCATGGCAGTGGCACCGCTGAACAAGTTGAGGTCCCAAGAGCGTTATTTGCAAGGCAACAAAAACCAAGGCTTGTCTATAACATCGACAAAAAGCAAGATTAGCTCAGGTGAAACAATCATACTTTTTGAGGGCGTTCTGCCGCAGTTTGTCAATCGAGCTCCGCTATTCGCAAACTAGGAGACAGGTGTCTCTGCGTTGCTTTCGCAGGCCGTACTGTACCAAGGCACCTCAATTACCTGCTTCCTGGTCAGAGGTCCAGAGGGTCAGGTTGTCTCGCAAAAGCTGCATGATCAACGTGGAATCTTTGTAGGAGTCCTCTGCCACGTTGTCGAGCTCTGCGATCGCATCTTCAAAAGCTGTGCGGGCCATTTTGCATGCTTCGTCAGGGTCATTCAGCACCTCGTACATGAAGACGGAGTAGTTCAAAGCCAAACCAAGGCGGATTGGGTGCGTCACAAGGAGATCTTTCTTGGCCACTTCTGCTGCCTCTGCATAGGCCTTACGTGCCTCTTCCGCTGCCTTGCTCTTCTCGTCACCGCTGCGGAACTCCGCAATGTAACCTGACGAAGTCGTAAAACTCAAAGAGCGGCAACTAAAATCTATACATTGTACGTACACACATATACATATATATATACTGTATATATATATATATTTATTTATACATACACATTCTGTCTACACCTACAGTAACTGTGGTGTCATGCTTCAAACATATGAGTACAACCGATAAAGGTGTGCTAATGCTTCACCGAGAGACGGTAGTAGTCAGCCTTCCTAACTTGTCGAACCATCTGGAAATGTACAATCTTTCCAACTAATTGACCCAACACGGGAAAACCAAAAGCTTGACATCCTGTTCTTAGCGGCATCTTCTGATAGAAGACCTTGGACTCTGCTTGTGTGGCCTTTGGGATAAGGCCCTGATCCAAGAGCTTCAAGATGGTGTCACAGATCTTCTGGAGCTCATTTTCCACCTGCAGCTTGGGCAAGACCATGAAACCATATCAAACCTCTTTTGAATCGTCATACTAGTAGTACCCTCTGCAACGCACGTCGCACACGGCGTGTTTCTGCTGTCGCAACGGCGTCGGATGACTGCATGGAATGATGCTCAACAAGTTTTTGAACTGTGCTCCACGGCACAATCAGGACGAACATGGCTATTCACAAAGCTACATAGATAATTTAAGAACAAGTAATTTGAAAACCATTCAACACCTCTGAAAGGGTGGTGACTTCACACATGACTGCAAACAACTGCAAAACAACTGCCACCAAATTGCCAATTGACTACAAAAGAGAAATTTGCCACCAGACCAGTTTACTACCGATGGCAACTCCCCTGACCCAGACTTGCAAATGATCTAAAATATTGCTATACATACACTGGAAACACGATCTGGTGGATGAAATGTTCAAGCATAGCATTTCCACATATTTCCACAAGTGTCCAACTTCTACAACGCCCCCACCTTGACACGGTAGTCCTTTGCATAGCCAGCTTGCGTCTCGTTGCCCTTGGATTTCTCCTTTTGCTCGACACTTGAAATGATGCGCCAGGCAGCACGGCGAGATCCAACCGTGTTCTTGTAGGCCACAGACAGCAAGTTGCGCTCTTCAACAGAGAGCTCCGAGCCATCATCTCCCACTGCCTTCCTTGGTTGATTTCAACTATCCACCAATACACTAGTGGGACAATGCTAAATTGTCATTCCCAACTGGGTGTGGACAACAAAAATTGCCAACCACCACCCAGCTTCATATAATCCGCCATTTCATCGTACCTCTGACGCGGTTGAGTTTGACAAAGTTGGAAGTGTATCGATCGAGTCGCAGTGAGAAATGCGTATCTCGTGCTGTCACTGTCCCAACGACTCTAATGAGACGCTTCTCCGAACATGCATGTGAGACATGCTTGGAAGACACTTATTAGGCAGTCTGCAAAAAAACACGATGTGCGACACTCTTGCGTCTTACAAGTGACCACATCACAATTCATATGCCACATATTCACCACATCATCACAGATTTCTTTTTTTGTGCTTTTCTGTCCTATAATGCACATATTATAGTATAGCAGTGCAACATAGTGCAACCCTGACTCCGCCAAAAGGGACCCCCTTAGTGACATTCACACAAGCACGGTGCTATACCAGAATCTGCACCGCGTCCTGCACTTGGCACAGTGGCTTCGACACCAAATCTACATGCTACAGCGAAACATAACATAGACTATACGCCGCACAAAACCTCGTGCCATCCAATGTAACAATTCTATGGTATTTCACACACACGGGACGCATGTGGCTTCATCCCAGAAGACCCGGTTGCGATCACAAGAATGTGCTCCTACTTGCAATGTTGAAGGGGAACCCTTCGCTATGCATTCCGGAAGTTAGGGGCATTGTTCACAATGAATTAGGGCCATTGCTATTAGGCTGGAGGCCATTTGCTATCGAGGTTGGAGGCCACCGCTAGGGGTGCATTGCCCTCAATTAATTAGGGCCATTGCTAGTAGGTTGGAGGCCATTGCTATCGAGGTTGGAGGCCATTGCTAGGAGGTTGGAGGCCATTGCTTATCGAGGTTGGAGGCCATCGCTAGTAGGTGCATTGCCCACAATTCATTATATAGGCATCCAAAAAATGGCCCGCCTCTCAGCCTGCTCAGCGAGCTTGGCGAAGTACACATCCTTCTCACGAGGCATGCCTATAGGCTTTGAAGATGCTCACAGGCACAAATTGCACACGCAGATTTCCCGACAAGCTTGAGCCAAAGAAAGCAAGAACACAACTAATTGCTTCATAGCTATCTTCCACATCTGGCACGAACTTATGGTCGATGCCACACTTTACCACAATGTGCCACAGCCAGCTCCCATACCTTCGTGGGTTCGGTCTTGAGGCGCTTGGCCAACACCCGCATTAGAGAGGGCACCTGAGGGGTTCAACGAACCCCTCACACTCTGGTCACTCGGTCCGAATTGACTCAACGCCGAAACAGGACCAAACAGGCCTAAACGCTGACTACATGTTATATCACCTTTGCCAGTCACATCCGTCCACTTAAAAAAAATACTTGGAGCATCATACATGATAATACATGTGTTCTCCCCACACTGCGTGATCTGCAAGGTCTTCTCTGTCTGGGCCCCAACATTTCCCATCAAGGCGGCATGCTCCCCAGCATATCCAGATGCCTCCGGCGTGAACAAACGTCCGGTGCAAACTGGCAACTGGGTCCCGCTGGCATCTCGCAAAGGCTGGTTCTTGACCAAAATCCATCAGCAGGAGATTTAAACAAAAGGATTGCTTTTTCAAATCTATATATATATAATATATATGTCATATATTTAGCGTACGTTCTGTCGTAAAATAGGCGCTGATCTGAGAATGCGCAGGACCCCCAGTCCATCCCAGCCCATATTATCATTCATGCTTGGGAGTTCTTGACAATGCCTCAAGAAAGTTGGAGAGGAGAGTCTCATTGGACTGCAACGGCTCCAGAATCATCCTGTTCACCTCATAAAGCAAATCTTGGTCAGGCACAAAGAGGCATCATCCAACTCACCAACAATCTGAACAGCTTTTTCTCAAACAAACTTGGGTGTCGATCTTCTGATGTGCCACACGCAAACCTACTGGCCGAGAGGGAAGTGAACTAAACGCAAAGAACATCAAAGGACTGGAATCCAAACTCTGAGCTTCCAGGCTTCCAGATTCAATTGGAATGGCCTCGGCTCTTTTTTGATGAAAAAATGACCCGTGGAACGAGAACTGCCGTACGATTTGAGCACCAAATGGCGTTCATCATCTTTCATCCTTATATAACTTATAACATGCAAGAACATATGAAGGTGTACTATACTACAGTAAGTAGAATTATGCATAACATCTGCAAGCTCCAATCAGTACCCAATTCCTTCTTGCTCAATGCTCAAGCACGCACGCATCAACGTCTTTGGATTCTTTCGTTTCAGGATAAGCACCTGCCTGTAAACCGCTGAGGGACAGCAAAGGGGAAAACATAGGTTGTAATGTTGTAACATGTGATCCGTTGTCAACGCAGCCTCCGAAAAACACACAGAAAACGAGACTGGCCGAGAAGCTCCGGAAGGTTTGCCAGGAGCTGCCCAGCCACTGGAGCAAAGGCCTGGTTTGAGATGATCAAACCGCCGGAGATTAAAGATGTCGTGGGATCCATCTCAGTGGAAATCTGGGAACATCTGGGGAAGCACAGCGGAACACCAAGGGCTGCGAGGTAGCCTTTACAGCTTTGACTTTGACCATATTTTATGGATCCAGGAATGAGGTACAAAAGCCCCACAAATGAGCTCGTCAGCTCCTTACAAAGCTAGACTTTCGGGCTTCAGGTTCTATTGGCCACAGAAAACTCGATCCCATTAATCCAGTCGTGCTTGCGGTGAAAGCTACACACATGATAGTATGATCGAGGTGAACTCGAAGAGTCTGGTGGTGCACCTGAAGGGAACTGTTCTCTCACCAACCTAGAGACATTAAAATGTTTAAAATGTCCACACAGCGCAAGTTTCTCTGCCTAGAGTCATCCGCAGAAAGCACACACACGCACAATTTGCACGATATTCTCAATCAGGGATTCACTAAAATAATCTAAATTCATGTAACATCTCTCCAGTATATATATATATAGAATATATTTAGAGATCACTTCGCTCAGGCCCTCCACACCTCTTTGAGCTGCTCACAAACCTTGCTATAGCTAGGCTTCAATGCCTCCCAACTGAGGATCGCTTCGCCCCGGAAACAAACGAAACGAGCAAAACAAACACGCTCCACCTTCTAGGGGGTTCTGTAACGCTGGAGTATGCAGCCCTAGCGAGTCCCAAACCTTTTCACACAGCTCTTTGGCGCATCTGCTGCATCCTTTTTTGGCCATCAGTGACAAAGCAAGCACATTGTACAATACCACCACGTGAAGTATTAAAAGCAAGGATGCACGAAGTGACTCAACATGCCGAATGGCTTTGCTTTTAAGTCTAGAAACATCTATTGTATATTCAGCCTTTGTTCGTTTTGGATCGTTTTGGTACGTATTGAAGATGATTTAGGCAAGTCACTGACTTCAAACGATACGCTCTGCCTCCAAAGGATTACACCTCATCCCTCCAGAGCTGTGGATAAACGCCAGCATTGCCTTCCGATGTACGTCCAAAGTGAGCGCTAGGCATCCCTCGACTGTCCAATACTTTCGCTCGGTCGGATTATTGCAACAGTTGCTTAATGCAATTGAAGGAGGTATCATGAACAAGAAGCTACTAGGGGCTCCTGGCATCGCTACTAGGAGCAAGGACACGCCCTACTAGGGGCTCCCAGCCGTACTACTAGGAGCAAGTAGCTAGTTTGGACGAACAAAAATAAACATAACATAGAGGGCACAGCTTCGTGTTAAGGGCACAGCCTCGGCTGCTCCCGTAGGCTCCATCGACATCAAGGCCCCCTCAAAGGCCTGAATCCAACAGGTGTTCATCTACTTGTGCTTTTCCAGTGGACTTTCAGGTGCTGTGCACACGGTATGACATAGTATTATAGTATGACATAGTCACTAAGTTCCTTTGGTATCCCAAAAATACTGGGAGAGCTCTCAGACTCTCCTCACAGCCTTGTCCCTTCTTTCCGCACCTCACAGGTTCCCCTGGCCAGGTCCAGCTTCAAGAAGCGCCGTCCCGGCAGCTCAAAGATGCCCAAACCCAAGCGCGGCCTATCCCCGGCAAATCAGTTCTTCGCTCATGGAACTTCAGAAGTCTGGGTTGCTGTGTTCTTTGCTCAAAATGTGTAATTTGAGCTTGAACATGATAAGTCCTTCAACAACATCTCTCAAGCAGAAAGCCACCAAGACAGCGAATTACATGGCATTAATGCATGGAATCCTTTTCACGCGGACATTGTGCACTGGGGTTCAAGGGCTGAAAAAACACAAGCACGGTCTGAGGTTTCTGACGCAGTACGTTGCAAGAACTCCCGCAAAGATCCAACCCTGAGTGCGCAGTCAGGCACTTTGACGGCCCTAACTTCCGCGAGCTGTGAAGTACCAAAATGTACAAAAGCTGTTGTGACTTGTCACGTCTGGTTACAAGTGCCTCGCTAGTAGTAACAGGTGCCTTACTAGTAGTAACAAAGAAGCCATTAGAATTAATTCAATACCTATCCTCTTCTTGGGAGGACATGCAACGAAAAGTGCTTTGATGCGATACGGACATTCTCAAGGTGCCCCTGCGTTACGAGAAAGACTGCGTCCCAATGAAGCCACTGCCGCAAGTCCGTCATGGATGGCGCGACCTTCGTTAGCAGTGTCACAAATTGGAATGGAGGACATGTCTGTGACTTTGGGTTTTTTTTGATCTTTTTTGTATCTAGTTGTATTAGGTTTATCCAACAGTGATCAGGAAGCCTGTGAACCCGAACCCGAGGCATCGTTTTGCGCAAGGGTAACTAACACTTTACACATTCGTTCCAAAATGAAATTGACAACCTAACCATAGCAGTTTCCTGATCCAGAAACTTCCATTGTACCAGTTGGCAAAATGTCGTGGGGCAAGATCCAACGCTTTCAACAGATTGTGAACCCTGAACTCATTAGCAATGCGACAGGCAACAAAAACAGCAAAAGCTGGTTGTAGGAGACTTGCATGAACCGAGAGCAGTACCTGCAATGCTCGTGCGGCAGCCTGCCAGCATTAACATGGGCCATGGAAGAGTACAGGTTGGGAAACGTTCTGATGGGTTTCGCCCGTATTGAGCGCCTGACACAATTAACCCATCTCAGTATGTCTCTGTCTTGGATAAATAGAAGACACATGCAAACATGATATGAACCTGCTTGAAAAAGGAACCTGAGAAACTGCATGAAACATGAAACTGGCCAGCTTAAAAAGGATGTCTTTAACTGGCCGTGGACCATTCAGACTGGTCAACTGGCGGGGGACAGGCCTCTTCCCAGCCATCTTCTGCTAAGGAGCCCAAAGGCGTCGCCTGTCCAAACCAAGCTGTGGTGCTCGGTGCTTTGATAGAACCACCAATTCTCAAAGCCTCACCGACAAAACTTGCCGCTCTAGTCCAGATTAGTCCAGTTTCTTGCAGTTGCTACTTGCATCTACTTGCCAATTTGCCAGTGATTCGCCTGCCTGCACCTCTGTGATCGTATGCCAGGGCCAAGAGGCAGCAATAGCCGTCATGACGGCTGCTTGTTGTGACTGGCAACGAAGCAACCCCAAACATGCACTGCCAAGATCGAGGGACTGACTTGGCGAAGAACGGAGCCACAAGAAGTCAGTGATCCCAATATATACAATATACATATATATATATAGTGTATAATAGTATGAATGTGTGATTGATGTCCATAGATGATCACCATCCAGATGCCAGAATTATGCATGACCTCAGTGGAACCCTAGGGAATTGCAAATAGATCGAAATAAGACTTCTCTGACTTGCATCTTGGACCCCCCAAAATAACTCAACATGCTGAGCAAGTCTTGTGGCGACACCTGCTCAGGGAGATCCTGAATGATTCTGCTCGCAATTGCCGACCAGTCAGAGTCCTGACACAGGGCACAGGTAAGAACACAAACTGATTCTCTAGCTTTCGATTTAGACCGAAAGACCATGAATGACCAAACTGCAAACATCGCTCCGAGTTTACATCGCCTCTTTTTTGCAGCGCGAGTCGGATGACTCGGATGAGTCGGCTACACCAAGCGCTGTCCCTGGCCGCTGAACGGAACGAAGCCTGGACCCTGCGCAGGTCGTTGTTGCGCGTCGCTCGGCCGAACGGTGTTGCTCGGCGGAACGGCGTCGCCGGCCATGTCACCCATGTCACCTTCATAGCCCATCAAGCCACCCTGGAAACTCTCGCTTTGGTAGGCGCGGAAGATCTTGATGCACAACCTGCAGCAAATAAATTCCAAGAGGATGGCCAAGACAATGGCACAATTGCCCACCACAGTTTGCCAGCTACATAACTCCTGTGTCACCACCTTTGTTGTCCTGGATGTAGGGTCCCACACTGCCACTTTGCCATAGCACTCGGTGGCAAAGAAGTACTTGGCTCCAGCGATGTGGCGCTGTCCCAGCAAAATGAACACCAACGAAGTGATGTCCGCAAGGCAATTGAAGGCCGACACGAAGGCCAAACAAAGGACACATTGACCTACAGGTGGGGCGTGGCATCTGACCCCCAGACTCCACAAACATTCAAAAAAGAAAAGCATTCATTCCATTCCTCCAAACTCTTGAAGAGAAGAAACTCACGTTCGACACACACTTCGATCTATCCCAGCCTGTCTGTGTGACATCCCGTAGTGCCAGCAAGCCCATCAACGGTGTGAGCAGTTCAGAGATGGCCTCATCATAGTAGGCGGCCACAAACTCCGCCACCACCACCAGTGCCACCGCCAGCACCGTGACCTTCAAGAAGGGCAGCTTTCGAAGCGCTTCTTCCGAAGGAGGGCCCACAGGGCCCATTGGGCCCAGACCTCCACCCACAGGGATCACCATGGCCCCAAGTGGTCCAAGATGAACGTTTCGGGTCTACCAGGGCATCGGTGGAATTGAATTGTACGAAGTCAGGGCCTCTTCAGACGGGCGTTTGGCTTTGTTGTGTCGCGTCTGGCTTTTGGCATTACCTTCTGTGCAAGGTTAAGTCGAACTAGCTAAGACTTGTGATATCACTGTGGCAAGACATCAAATCACGGTGAAATGATGTGACATGTGTGAAAACACGACAGGATACACTGACAAAACGCATGTGGTTTAGAATTCTGTCAACTGTATCAGCCTCGTAGTTGGAGTACTCCGAGTAGCATTGTGTGAAGTGCATTATACGTTTCATGTCACTCATGTCACTGACAACTTGAGCCGAAGCATTGTGGAACACTCTACGTCTCGCATATGTGTCATGATCAAGCAACCCACATCAATCCACGATCCACAAAAGTTCACAGAACGTCTCTCTTATCGTAGTCCGTCGAGTACCTTGGGTCATCTTGGGTTTCCTTTAGCGCTCTCCCCCCACCTCACCGTGCCCGAAGTGCCGCTTCAAGAGCTGTCGGAGTGCCTCCTGTGACTAAAGAATGGCCCTGGCAAAATGGACATTTCCATGTCATGGGAATAATATATAATAATGAACATAGACATTCCGTTTCAAACACCAGCATGTTCTTGGCGCACATGGACACATCAGAAATTCAGGCACGACCGTGTCCTCGGCTTCATCCGTGTCTTGCCTCGGATTCACCCACTCATCGCCGACCATTCCAAGACAATCCAAGTAGCAGTGTTACACTGTAGTGACGTGCTTTAAGAAACTCTTAACGAACAGATTCGTCCCGTACATTGATAAAGTCTGAGTGTCCTCTGGCCAAGGGGCGCAACACTACCGAGCTCAGAGAAAAGCATGGCTGCCTGGCTCAGCTATCAACAGCATGGAGCAATGTCTGCATGGGGCAGTAGAAGAAACACCATCTTATATTATACGCAGCAACACCCACTACCACAATAACAACAGCAGCACACTGGAAGATTGAAGAGCTGCTTAGGTCAGCTGATCAACAATACCGTGGGAGCCTCCACAAGGTGAGACACCCTTCAAAAGCGTGATGCCTTCGAACGTCAATCAACTCTGCTCTGGTGGACCCTGCCCCAGTTCTGTCTTGTCACCTCCCGTTCGATCAATTCGCCGGTGGCCCCTGAACTTTGGCCTCGGGACGAGAAGTCTTTTGGACCAACAGCTTCAACAAATACAAAGTCGTACAAAGTGATGCATGTTGGCTGAAAAGTCATGAATCGGGGGATTCCTGGTTTTTAGGAAACTGGGAAAGTTAGTCCAATCAACAAACATGGCTTCGAGAAAGAACATCACTACATGATACTAATTATATGTAAATATATGTGTTTTTACTTAATGGATCTTATATAATAGACTCTTTTTCAATCCTGCTTTGATGGCCTTCATGTGATTTCCAAAACAGGATCCAAGCGCAGCACCTGAAAATTGTAACTCAGGCGGGGCCTGCGCTGTTTTGGAAGAAATTAACGAAAAAGTGGATTTGCTTCATTCGTCTTGATTCCTTTTGCCTTCATGATCGGATGATCGTAAGAACCCGGAAGAATCTGCATTGGTGAGACTCATGAGACCTTGGAACTGATGAGTAACCTGCCTCCGGCCATTCGGCAATGAGTTCGACCTGGAGCCACTGTTCAGCACAGTACATAAAGACAACACAACAATCAAACCATGAGATCAAAAGCGTGTTCGTATGAGCTACCACAGTAAAAACAACTAATGAGATTACTGCACCTTTCTTTTCCAGCCCTGCTTTGTTGTCGTCGGGTCTGGATGGTCTCCCTTTCATAATTGGCTTTGATCCAAAGGTCTCTCTGGCTTTTGTTCTCTTCAGCAGCAAACTTCTTACGACTTCTGGCATCTTCACTCCTCTAGAATGTAGTCTTCTCTAAAGGTCTGTGGTGCCACACAAAGCTCTGGTAGACGTGCTTGGATCTATCCTGGGCAGTGGTTCAAGATCGAACAAACAAGATGGGTAGGCAAATTGGACGTGAACCATCGAGCCAAGTACTAAAGGCACTCGATAAGGTACTCGAACATTTTGGAACGACTGCTTATCTCCAATTAAGGGTGCAAATCTTTGGGACCGAACGCGTGACTTTTGTTGATGAGACTTGCTCCAACATCCGGCAACGAACCGTCCATCTTCCAATCGATGAAATCAATCTCTGAATTTCGGATTTATCACTCACCATGGCACCTTCTTCACCTCCAGCGATGCGAAAGTCTTGGCCTCATTGTGGCCAACTCATAGAGACCCATGCAACCAAATCTACCTCTTGGTCTTCCATGACAAGGATTGAAGATATATACTATATATAGATATATAAAAAAAATGCTGTGATCTCTACCTTGGATCTGCCGACCTTTGGCCACCTGAGTGTGTGATTGTTTGTTTAGGCGTTCACCGGGTGCCACCGGCGCCCAAATGCTGCAGAAGTCTTTGCCTGACATGTTTGTGAAGTCCGAGAATATCACAGGCCTTCAAACTCTGCTGTTGTCATGGAATTGTTTCCTGTTTCCTTGCTCATTAGTGGCTATAGCGTGCACATCTTGTTGTCAAGTTGCTAAGTTGTGGTTGCACAATTGCCCACATGATCACATTTTGCTGGGTTAAAAGCACATGAAAACACCGTGACTGTGGCCTCTCAATTTGTCATTCATTCAGCACATTTCAGCACCCAACAGGTGCAAGAAAGCGAGACTCCTTGAGGGTTCCCAACGTTACCCACCTGAATGCTGCTACTAAAACGGTTGGATCGTGGCAAAATATGCACATCGAAGCCACAATTTTTGGCCCTTTGAAGCTGTCCTATTTGCAGTCCATGTTTTGGTGCTTTTGAAGCGATCGGAAGAAGCACTGCCAGGTCGACTCGCAGGTCCACAACTTCTCAGCAGCCATCATCTGCGACCAGTTTGGTTCCCTGGCCACCTGGATGTTTCGACACAGGGCAGGTGCTCTGCAGGGGCGACACAGCCACTAGAGAACCTCAAAGAAGCGTTTAACTCTGATTGGGGCAATACTTTTGTCAATTGCCTTGCGATGCGGCTAAAACAGTTAGTTCATCCAATCGACAGATTTATGATGTCCAAACTCGGCATTGGCCGAGGCTTCTGAGAGCTGACCTCCAACACCGCTGACACGGCAGCCAAGCGAAGCTCTTCTTCGCTTCTTGTAGGTCCTCAGGGATGGTAAGCCATGAGCATAATTAATGCTTGACAATGCAGTGAAGAAGGGCCAAGTCATCTTTGGAAGATTCAAGCAACTTCTGGAGTGATTCACCACAGTCCTGGTTTCTCAGGTGCCTCCTCCTTCTGTGCCTCAGTATGACTTGATCTGGCTCGGTGCGCAGGTCTCCAAGGCACCAAGGCCCTGCCAGGGCCCCCAACCCCCAGAAGTTGTGACCAGAAGCACTCCGCGACCTTTGCCCACTTGGTGGACCTGTACCAAGCAAAGCCTTGACATGAACGCCCTTCAAGACATTTCTACCTGAAGCTTTACACTCTTATATAAAGTATAGAATCTGAATCTGCTACAGTTTAGACTGACACTATAATTGAGATAGATTCAAACAACTCTGGAGGGTATCCGAGCTGGTGGAATATGTTGATTTGGAATGTCTCGGAAGCTTAGACCCAAACCAAGAGACATTTCTCGGTGCTTTGCACCGAACCATCTCTAAACACCGAACCATCTCCATCCGCGACCTCGTATCATCATCGCAATAGCCTTGCGCCAATGCCAACAACAAGGGGCCCTGGCCGCTGAGGTGCCCGTGAGGGGAGACGCGTTGCATCCCCGTTCGGATGCAAGACGTGGTAACATGTGACTGCCTGCAGTGTCTCTTAATCGTCCGGACAGCTCTTGAAAGACTGAAAATTGGACTCAACACACATTGGTTGGAACATTGATTGGGGGGGTCCTCCTTTCAAGACACTTCTCTAAGAGCACTGATTGTGCTGTGACCAAAGAACGAATGCCAATGAGTGCCCGCGCCAGCTCCGAATTGTTCATCTCCAACTTCCCCAGCAACGTCCTCAGCCTCTCCTGGGCAGATGGGATTTCAAAGGATACATGGGAAGTGACAAAATACTGTTGAAATGCAAAAGGAAGATCCCTTGCTTCCTTCTTTCCATCATGGGCGCGTTTTGGTCAATAGATACACTCCCTGAAACAATTATGGAAGTGGAGTTCACCACCTGTTTGTAGAGTAGAGGAAAGTGGTCTTGCAAGGGGCCAATGTCGACTTCCATATTTAAGGAAGTGTATCCACCTATTGTCCCCTTTCGTTCCTGGCCGAGCCTGAAAGGATCTCCCTGTCTCGGTTGATTCTGCACCTGCTCGCTCAACTCTGCTTGTCAACTCTGCTGATACTTCAAACACATCTTCATAACTCATACCGTTTAAAGAAGTGTTGTCCAAAGAACGGAAGAATGGACACACGACTTCTTATCAGCAATTTAGTGGGTGTTGTCGACCAAGCACCCAGGGTTCTGATAGTGCCAAGCATAACACGCATAGTTCCGGCCTCTATTAAATTGATTTGGAGATGCAACCCCACTGTGATCTCACTCCAGTGTCTTCCTTGCTGGCTGTGGTAAAGAAACGCCAGCTTCACACCCCAAAGATGTCTCTAGATGTTCCGGCACAAATCAGCCATGTCTAGCGGAGGGGATGCAAGAACTCTCAAGACATCCCAACAGAAATTATGTGTGTCGTAGGAGTCCAAAACAAAACACGAATCCCCACATTGAAGTCTTCATAAGAAAGCGTCCCACCCAACGCTAAATGCCGTGTTCTTGGCCTGACAAGGTCCTTTCCACCCTTTCGAGCCAATATTTCTCCAGCTTTGGGCGTTGGCCTGCCATGTGAACAACATCGTGAAGATCCCAAAACGGGTCAACTCGAAGATTCAAACTCTGCTCATCCATCATGGATGATGAATTTCTCCTACACATCAAACTACCACTGCTTCATTCTCTATCGGGCTTCTGTGCTGATACGTCAATGGCAAAGAACAAGCCGGCCTAGTCGAAGCCACTCCACACGAGCCTTGGTACAGCCGCAGTTTCCAGGCCAAATTGGTGCCTTGGTCCTCAATGCCTTCAACCTAATAGCGATGGCCTCCACCTGGTAGCTTCTTGCTACTCTAGATTTTTTCACTTCCAGTTGATCAGTGATGAGGTTTACTGAGGGACCACAGCACTTGAATCAGCTGAGTGATCTGGGACAGCCCTCGGCCCACTGAACAGATCTAGCTACCCTGGTCTGGGTGCAATTGAAGGGTTTGCTCACATCAATCTCAGCTCTTTGCTGTTTCAACCTGACCTCCAAACAGCAATTAAGGCCCATGAAAAGTCATTGGGGACGAACATGAGTTGCTCGTTGTGTTTACAACCATAGCAGAACGCGGACACACCATCATAGTCAGTTGCAAAGACTGACATGCACACATGTGAAGCAACCAACAAGAATGCATGAACTCCTGCACCACTCCTCCATGTTCCTCCTAGTAAACTTTAAGGTGCTGACATAGGCGGTCAGAATCGTGCAATCACTTACGCCTTGTGCCCTGTGCCCAGGTCCCAGGGGTCCGTCCCAAGTGCGGCGAAGCGGCCCAAAGCCCCAAGGATGCATCCAGCGCGCAGTCTGCCAGCTCGTCCAAGTTCAGGCGTTTCAGCAACGCAGCCTGCGCAGGTGAAAAGCACAGCCATTCTACGAAGGTGCAAACCAAACAAATGATGGGGACACCTCTGAAGACCTCCAAACAATCATTGAACCCCCAATTCAGAGTGTCATCTTCTTAAAAATATCTTCAAAAAACAGAAGATGACACTCTGAAGGAATGGAAGGGTGACGAAGAATGGAAGGGCTTTGTCTTTCGAAAAGAAAGCTGAGGCCTTGATGCAAATTGACTTTGCACGTGTTGAGGTTTATCCAAAACTGTTGGTCAACGTTGGTCAGAATGACTCCTCACTCCGCACCCAAATTGGACCCATGCAGAGTGCTAAAACCAACCCTTCCCACAAACAGAATATAAACAAATACATGTATATATATATAATCATATATATATACATGATTTTATATATGTTTATTTACAACAACATAATGTGCCCAAACGTCCCCAGCTTAGTTTCTTGAACGACTTCAGCCGCTGCGTGGCTCTCATCGCTGCGCCTTGAGTCGCCGCCGTGCAGCTTGGAAACCACCCCTGCAGCATTCCACCAATGTGATGGATGTGAAGCTCTATGGATACTGGTAGTAGCTTCTTGTTACTAGTAGCTATTTGCTACTAGTAGTAATGCCAGGAGGTACTACTAGCGTCCTTGCTCCTAGTAGCGATGCCGTTTGTTACTACTAGCTATTTGCTACTAGTAGTAAGTAGTAACATTAGTAATGCATAGTAATGCCCTTTGTAACTAGCAGCGATGCCCTTGTTCCTAGTAACTTCTTGGTACTAGAGAGTTCATAAGGCATCTTTGACATCTAACATCGATTGGTGACATGCAAAACCTAAGGAAGTTGGGTGTAGTGTAACGGTGTAACCGTGTATCTAGTTTCGAAACGATCACTTTCACATGTGAAAACACATGTTGATGCATCATGAGCTCAGTGAATGCGATTTCAATGGCACTGTATTGACTCCCAAGCTTCACTCCGGTGCTCCATGGTGCTAAGTTTTGCTGCATTGCGCGCGTCATCATGTCATCTCTGGATGGATAAACAGTTGCAAGAAGCAACCTGGTGGATGATCCCGTGTGAAACCACTGAACACTACGATGTTCAAATACGATCTGAGAATCCCCAAATCTTAGGGGGATCTGCTTCACTAAAACACTTTGGCATTTGGCAACACCTCACTGAGCCGGTCACCTGGCTAGAGGCTCAGGTGCTGAGGGGAGACTGACTTGATTTCGGGGGCCGAGAGTGCAGAGTTGACTCGCTGCAGGAAATCTCGCAGAGTCAAGGACTCTTCACCGGTCATCTGAGTGTACTGACCATGGAAGAAGTTCACCACATGTTCTCTCGCTTCACTAGGTGCTTGCTTCGCAAAGTCCATTGCAGTTCGGCCATGAGAGGTCTTTTGTTGAGCATCAACACCGTGATTCACGAGGAAGTGGAGCATCCGACACTTTCCTTGCTTGGCAGCAACATGAATGGGATAAAGCCTTTCCCCTTTGCAAACGATGGAATCGTCCACATGTTTGAAGTTGTTGGATCGCAAGAAAATCCTGAGCTGTGCGTGGTGCCGCCGTTCCCGGTCATTCTGGTTGCTTCGCGCTCCTCTCACAGGTTTCAGAGCTCTTCGGACTCCAGGGGGCTGCGCAGCAGTGCATAAATCACCGATGTCGACAGACACTTGATGGGCCCGTAGGCAAGCATCTGAAAACAACCAGGGAGGTGTTGTGGAAGAAACAAGTTGCAGGCTGCCAATGTTCATCGGCCACCTGCGACGACTACGAGAAATGGTACATTTTGAGCCTGAATTTCCGAGTTGCATACGACACTCGGCTTGCACCCTTGCCTTCCTACACTCCTCCCTAACATAGCCTCAGTCCTCCAGAAAGAACAATCTTGTGTCTGACAGCATCTCGTCAATCTCATAAATCGGACACACACCAAAGTAATCCAAAGTAGCTGCGGATGACATTACCATACATTACCCGTATCTACCATCTACCCCTTCAAATAAACCAAGGATTCTTGGAACAGATGGTGGGAAGCAGAAACCCAACTCACGAGAACCTCCGTCCTTGGCCCATTGCTGACATGCTCGAAGTCGTGGCCACCAGCACGGAAGCCCAAGTCCTACAAAAATGCTCCGCTGAAGAGAACAAGCTAACACTCATCATTCGTCCACGTGTAACGCGCGGCGTTTGGCATTGCGCAGGTTGAGACCTTGCGGTAGCAAGGGACGATCGTCGACTTCGCTTTCCATGCTGCAAAACTGCGATGAAAGCATCCTTGCGGAAGAAGTCTGACCCCTTTGGATGACCAAAAAAACATCAGCAGCTCTCCTGTCGCAAGGCCCACAGTAACGCAGCGCGATGGCGGTACCTTGGACCGAAAGGATGGCCGGGTGAAGAGAGTGGGGTCGAAAGGACTCGAAGCCTTCAGATCTATTGGTGTATTGCTCGTTGGATTGTTCGTTGGATTGTTTAGACGAATTCAAGTCAAACCCAGCCTCAGCACATGTGACAAATCTGTGGTTCATTGCGCCTTTTTTGTTGGTTCTGATGACCAATGATCCGGACGTCACCTTGAGTCTCAGGCTCCGGGAGAGCCACTGCAGCAGCGTAGAGATGAGAGCAACATGTCAAGCCTTGAATTCCGATGTGGAGGAGTCTGACTTGAAACAAGACCAGGGTCAAGGCTGTAAAGCAAAGCAACGGAAGGAATGTAGAGACAGGACACAAACTATCACAAACTGTGACTAACCTCGACTAACCTGATATCATATCATCAGTATCTACATTTGAAGTGGCAAAATCCTCACATGGCCTGAGTTTCTTATCCGCCACACCACACGACACTCCCTGGCCCCACGGGCAGGTATCTCTCACCACCCCTGCAACCACCTGCACTTTTCATGACAAAGGTACTATTTGGGCAATTGCATTCGAAAAGGGCCATGTCCACCCGCCGACCTGGCTTGCGCAACGCTTGTGTTGATGTCCACAGTCTCGTTTCCGTCGCTCAGACTTCATTGCTCACCAAACAAGTGTGTCGTTCAATTGTGTCTTTCAATCTGGTGACAAGCAAAGCCCCAGGCAATTCTCGGTGTAAGAATGGGAGACGAAGACATCCTGCTTGCAAGATTTCCCAAAGGGGGAAGACAAAGAAGCTTGTGCAATATATAACTTGGGCGAAAATGGGTCGGCAGGATCTCAATTGCCCATTGAAATACACAAGGCAACAAACACATGGGGGTGAACGACTCTGGGCCATCCCAACTGGCTCTCCATCGTCAGACGGCCGGACACCATCCTCGAGAAAGGAACCACTCCGTGACACGAAGCCACTAGTAACGAGAAGCTACTAGGAACAAGTGCATCGCTACTAGTAACAAGTGCCTTACTAGTAGGAGCAAGGACGCTACTAGGAACAAAGGGCATCGCTACTAGGAGCAAGGACGCTACTAGTAGCTCCTGGCCTTACTACTAGGAGCCAAGGACGCTACTAGGAGCAAGGACGTTACTAGTAGCCTCCCATTCAAACTCCCCGACTTCTTCGGATCGCTCCCCAAAGCCTTAACGTGACTTACGTGTTCAGCTGGGGTCGTGAAGCTATGACCAAAGCGGAAGAGTCAGTCCTCCATCTGGCCAATCTCCCAGCCCTGCGGGCTTGGTCGCATGAACCCAGAGGCCAAATGGAGAACATTCAAGAACAACTTCCTCGTGGGCCCAATCTTCGGGTTAAACCGCCAGAACATGAGGACTTGGACTTGGCACTTCAGCGATGCCCTTTTTGCACGGCGTTCACAAGTTCACACACACGAAGGACGTCCAAACGACGAATTCCAACACCACGCCTGGGGATCACCCCTCAAGGTTCCCCTGGTCCAGCGTGGAGTACGTACCGCCCCCACCCCCAGTGACCGGCGGAAAACAGCTCATGCCATCACGAGCTGGGCGGACAACTCCTGCTGCAAATACGCAAATGCAAAGGGTTGTAGGAACCTCCAATCTAACTCTCAAAGACTCAAATGCGCAAAGGGTTGGGAACAGCGTTGGGTTGCTTAATGATACTTGATGTGGGTCATTGACTCTGCCAAATGATCATTTTCCCTTAAGGTTGTGCTGGGAGTGTAATTTGCACAGCTTGTTTTGTGATGGTATGAGTTCCACTTTGGTATTTGCAATGAAGCCACTCTCTGACCTTGAGCTGCAACTCTTCACATTGTCTGGGAACTTTCATACCTTGGTTGGTTCAATCTGGGAGTTTGATACTTTGAGAACGGTCAACCTTGTTCTTTGAAGATTGGACCAAACACTTCAAGGGGAACAACCTCTCTTGGAGCCCGAGGTGCGATCAGCGCAACTCTGCGAAGTGGGTGTCTCCTTTGCAGCGATGAAACGGGGGCCATTTGGAAGGCTTTCCTTGTCTGATCACGTTGCTTGCAATTTTGCGAGTCAGGATGAACACAAAGCAACTTTCATAGTTAACTTGCGCTGTTTGCCCTTTTTGAGGTTATCCCATAGTTTAGTTTATACACAGCACATAGTAGCCACGGGCCCAGGTCTTTCCAGTTAGTGTGGCTGGGTCGGCTGATCCCTGGGAGTAGTGTCATCCGCTTTGTTTTGCAATGGAGTTCCGGCATGCTGGGTGCATACAGCTGTCATTGCTGCTTCCTTCCGCTGCTCGAGCGGATTGCCTGGGAATTTTGCGGTGGCATGTGGCAGTTTCGTCCTACCACTGCCTCGCTGCAAGAATTGGAGACCTACACGAATGGGTTGGCAACCTACATGTTTGCAAGCTGCAGTGCTTCAGTTCACTA